CAGTTTCAAAAAGGTGCTTCAGAACAGACCAAACATTTTCTTGTAGCTATCGCCTCCTCTGAGTTCCATTGCTAAAAGGCTGGATTGGTGACCATGCCAAAAAGAGAGCATTTTGGCTCTTGATTTATTTTTTTTGTAAGAAACTGGACCTGGAAAAGGCCTTCCTTCCTTCCTTCCTTCCTTCCTTCCCTCTCTCCCTCCCTCTTTCCCTCTCTCTCTTCCTTCACTCCACTCTTCTATCTTCCTTCCTTCCTTCCTTCCTTCCTCCCTCCCTCCCTCTCTTCCTTCACTCCACTCTTCTATCTCCCTTCCTTCCTTCCTTCCTTCCTCCTTCCCTCCCTTCCTTCCTCCCTTCCTCCCTGTCCTGTCCTCTCCTGTCCTGTCTCCACTTTTCCATTCTTTTGAGTTCCTCTTTCTGCTCTATGTAGCCTGATTGAGCGGAAGGACCACTGGCGCAAAGAAGCTGAGGAACGCCTGCGTAACACACCTGATCCTGACACCCCACCTGGGCACGCCATGATGCCGGAGAACCAGCGCCTGGAAACCCTCAAGAATCTCAAAGAGAGTAAGAAGGGTGGAGGTGAAACCCTCTGAAACTGCTTCTTATAGACTTCATACACACACACACACAATCAGGATAAGGAAAGAGCTAAGGGTTATGCTAAGGTTAGGCTCAGGTTTCAGGTGTTCCATTTTCCTCTTCCTTGCTTTCTTGCCCTATTGAGTTTTTAATCTCTTGGGATTTAAATAGAGGGTGGGTTTACTCTAAGATTTAAGGAACATGTTCGCAGCAAACCAGATTTTTCAGAATCCTGATGCACATGCAACCCAGGATGGTCATCACGCATTGTGCTGAGCCGCGATTCATGTAATCGCGCCTCATTGAATACCCCATATCACTGGCTAGTTGTATACAGTATAACAGAGCAAACCATAAAAACCTGGCTCAGAAATCCAAACGGCTGAGTTCACACAACCAAGTACACTAAAACCAAATAAACCACATTATGGCTTGGGGCGGCACGTTTATGGGTCAACTGGAGTCACTGAAGAAGGCAGGCCGTTAGAATTGCCCACTGATGGTGCTCCTTCCTCCCCCCTCCATCTCTTTTCTGTAGGCCAAGATAAGCTCTTGAAGGAGTTCCTGTTGCTTCCGGTGCGAGTCGATACTTTGAGTGTTCAAACCCGTCGGGTTTCTTTAGAGAAGAAGCTGTCACAGATCGAAGAGGCTCTCAAGATCTTCTCCAGACCCAAAGTCTTCATCAAGTTGGACTCCTAAGCACAGAGGCCACCTTGTCTTTGGCCTCTCCAGCCTTTTGCACTCAAGTCGCAGGTGGCTTTGCTTCCTCACACGGTAGTTCCCGCAATGTAGGTTTGACTTGTTGCGTTGTCCGTTGTTCTCGCCGCAAGTCCTGATTCTTTTCAGCACAAAGAAGCAAATCTGTGTTTCTTGGTCAGGCACACAGGAAACCCCTGCAGGTAGTAACAGTCCAGACTTGGGATGATGAAAGCTGGAACCCAAGAACTTTTGGTGGGCCGAGAAAGAGCCGTTTCCCAAATAAACCTTCTCAAGAATGTCTTATTTTTCAGGCAAAAAGGTGGGAAGATGGTTTTCTTAAAAGAGGAAAAAGTACACCTTCTCAGCAGCTTTGCAAGCTTAGAGGAGCGTGTGCATTTTTAACTTAGACGATTGGACAGTTTAAAACAAAATAAAGCACATTTTGTAAGCAAGCTTGTGAGTTGGAAGTTGTGAGGGCCTTCCTAAGTCATTCTAAAGGATTCTTCAATGTTGATAGCATCGGTCTTTTTTTTTGTTTTGTTTTTTTGTTTTTTTAAAGCATCAAACAATTCCCTTGAATCTGAATAATGGTCCTGCAAATCTCAATTAGGGCGATTTTTTTTCTCCTTTAATAGAACTTTCCAAAGAAAAACCTTCATGTGCAACTTGAAGGAGAACTGGCGGAAGGAAGTTGCAGGATTCCTCAACCTCTTGTCAAATTTAATATCTGAGCTTTGTTGATCTGGTTTGTGCTGCCATCTGCTGATGGACCCCATAAATGTTGGAAGAAGGTTCACTGCAAACCAAGGACCTAAAACAAGCCAAGTGTTTACTCTGAGGTTAGGGCCCTTCGCAAGTCTGGCATGACTTAAGTTAACTGTTACTCATCGCAGTGGGGAATGCGGCAATAGTTGTGTGAGGATCCATTGTAAGTTACTTTTTTCAGTGCCCTGACTTTGGTTGCAAGTTGAGAACTATTTGTAAGAGATGCTGTCCTATTCCATCTTGATCTCTTTGCCATTCTCAGCAAAAGGTTAACTTTACCCCTACCTGTATATTGCTAAGACTTCAGAAGAGTCATCAAAACAGCACAGAGTTCCCTGTCTCTACAGATCAAAGAGGTGCAACTTGCAGCCCCAAACCAAAAGCCTGGGACACAACCCCCACCGTCTTTGCAGACACCGCCATTGAGTTGTAGTGCACTTGGGCCCATCAGCAGAATAAAAGAACTTCGGTCTTCCAAGGGGGGGGGGGGTCAGAACGATTTAAGGTTTCAGGCGATGGATTTTTTTTTTTCTTGGGCAGCTGAAAACCAACGGTCAGTAAGCTTGGTACTAAACGAGACATTTATATGGAATGCTAATTTGTAAACATTTTAAATAACATTCATTGACTGTTATATCCTGGCTGCTAAATAGTTTTTCTTTCTGGAGCACTGCTGGGTGGCACGAATAATGAAAATGCTGGGGATAATTGATAGTTTAGATAGACAGACAGACAGACAGACAGACAGACAGACAGGATGGATAGATAGGATAGATAGATAAGACAGACAGATAGATAGATAGATAGATAGATAGATAGATAGATAGATAGATAGATAGATAGATAGATAGATAGATAGATAGATAGATAGATAGATTATCTATCTATCTATCTATCTATCTATCTATCTAGATAGATAGATAGATAGATAGATAGATAGATAGATAGATAGATAGATAGATAGATAGATAGATGATAGATAGATAGATAGATAGATAGATAGATAGATAGATAGATAGATAGATAGATAGGACGGACGGACAGACATAGACACACTTCAGATAGGTCTGAATGACTCAGAAGACCAGGTACCTAAAACCTACAGGTTGCGTCTCTTTTTCTGGTTGAGCTTTAAAGTGAACAAGAATAATCTGGGTCTTTGTAATTTAAAAAGTCAATGAAGTTTCCACCTGTTATTCGAGGACTGTTAGCCTGGCTGTAGGAGAGAAGCAGCCATGATTTGCTGCGATCAATAGTTTTGGCTTAAAAGAATCAGTTATGTCTCTCCTTCAGGTTTTTTTCTCCCCTTTCATTCTCTTTTGTTTGGCTGAAGGAGATTTAAGTTAAATGTGTAGCCCCCATTTCTTAATCACTAATGAAAAGACAGTAGAGGGATATTTAGCAGGATACGGTGACTTTAACCTCCCAAAGACTCCTGTGTACATCAAGAACACAAGGTGGACATCAGGATCTGTCGCCTTAATGAGAAATGAGATAATTTGCAAACCTGCTGCCTTCCAGACAGACAGAACCACAATTCTATACAGGTAGTCCTCAACCTATGACCACAATTTAAGCCCAAAATTTCTGTTGCTAAGTGAAAGTTTTATTAAGTGAGTTTTGCCCCCATTTTACCACTTTTCTTGCCACAATTGTTAAGAGAACCACTGCAGTTGTTAATTTAATAATATGACTGTTAAGTGAATCTGACTTCCCCACTGACTTTACTTGTCAGAAGGTCGCAAAAGAGGGTTACGTGACCCCTGGACACTGCAACCGTCATAATTGTGAACCAGTTACCAAGCGTCTGAATTTGGATTACGTGACCACGGGACTGCTGCAAGTGCTGTCAGAGTGAAAAATGGTCGTATGTCCCTTTTTTCCCAGGGCTGTCGTAACTTGGAACGGTCCTTAAATGAGCTGTTGTAAGTCGAGGACAACCTGTAGTCAGGCAGGTGGCTGACCTACAAGGTCAGTCTTTAAAGTGCTTGAAGGTTCCCTGTTTACTGCAGACCACAATGGCTCCCCTTCTGAAAAATGAATCTATCTATCCTTTTGTCTACTGCCCTTCCAACATATACCCGATTCCCACCAGCAGGCATTTGGTAGCATCACGGGAGAAAATTAGACCATTTTGGGATCTTCATCAATTGTGGTCCTGGCATAAGCCACTTAATCTGTATTATCTCAGGCAGATTTCTTTGCTCGCTTGCTGAAAGCCCTGGGAGTGTTTTTTAGCTAATTGGGATGGGGGGGGGGCTTTCCCCACAATCTGCCTGCCATAGAGACTGAGGAAGGGGCATGGTGGTGGTGGGGGTTCCCGTCCGCCGAATTTGCCAAGCCACCCCTTCAAATGAACAGAGGTGCCCCTCCCCCCAGACAAGCAGACCAGGTTCTCTCTGTCAGGATGGTTTCCTTTTGCTGTCATCTCCCTCAGGTTTCTTTTAAAAAAAAATTTAATGTGAAGGAGCACTACTTTAAAAAAAAAAAAGCGCCATGGTTTAATAGTCTGTTGCAATATATTAACTGTGACACGTGTCATCATAAAAACACCTAAAATCAAACACTTCATGAGAAACTGGTGGAGGCAGAGCTGGGGGACGAATGAGGCCAGCCCCCTGCCTGGAATCCAGGTAAGAAGCCGAAGAGGAAAGGGGGAAAAGTAACAGGAAGTAACATCCCATGGAGCTCCCTGGACATGGAAAGGAAAACCTCTGGGGCTTGGGAGAAGGTGGGTGGGTCCCTCTCATTCCAACTGCCACTGTCACCTTGGTCGCAAGAAGCACCATTGGAGCATGAAGGTGGTGTGCAAGTCCGGATCAGCGAGGGGGGAACCTTGGTTTCCGATCTCTAGACTTGACCTCCGATGGTCAAGGACGGGGCCCTTCCCCAACTGACCTCAGAAACAAATGTTTTTTTCAAGTAGAACGGGACGGAGGGACGACGGCACCAACGGCTATAGCGTGATCATGGTGCCATCCTCTTGGAGGCTGCCCGCTCGGCTGCCACGCATGGGGCTCCCGCTGCCACTGTGACTGTTCAGCGAGGGCAAGGAGCCCTGGGAGCTATAGAGCGAGAGGCTGTGCTGGAGGCTGTCGAGAAGACCCCCGTTGGGGCAGCTGGCAGGCAAGTCACTCTCAATTACCAGGTCTCCCTCTTCATCGCTTTCCCCCTCGGCTGTGCTACAGTTGCTCAGATACTGGGAAGCCGGGCTGGGCGTCTGCTGGCTGGGGGTGCTGTCGGTGGACATGCCGGAACTCCCCGAAGCCTTGCTGCTGCGGATGACGTTATTGCGCTGATTGGCCGGCTTGACGGTGATGATGAGGTTGTGGCTGTTGGCCACCATCATGTCAGTCACCTGGTCCAGCGACTTGCCCGCCACGTCAATGCCGTTGACTTCGAGGATCTCATCGTTCACGGCCAGCAGTCCGGTGCTCTCGGCCAAGCCTCCCTTGACCAAGCGGGAGATGAAAATGCCGGGCACCTTTTCCACCCCGTGATGAGCCACTCGCACGCTGACCCCGTCCCGGATGTAAAAACCCAGGGGCTTGTTGGAGCCGTGTTTATGGAGCCGCACTCGCCGGTGGGTCTCGGGCAAGATGTCCACGTCGATGATGGAGGAGATCTGGCGGAAGTCCTGGGGCATGCCGATCAGCAGGTGCGGCTTGGCCCGTTGGTGCGCTGGCCTCAGCAGTCCCTTTTTCTTCCGCTGCAGCGAGTTGGAGGCAAAGACGCTGGCGTTGGCTTCTGCTGCAAGGAAAGAATGGCAAACAGAGGTCAGATGGGCAAGTTGTCTTCTCCAGCTACAGAATCCTTCAGCGTCACCTCTGGGTTTGCTGGGCTCCTTGTTGGCTTTTCCCTATTCTGAACTACAGTAAAATGATAGAGGTGGTCCTTGACTCCTTGACCTGCCTCCAGAAGTGGTGAATGCTCCAACACTGGAGGTTTTTAAGAAGAGACTGGACAGCCATTTGTCCAAAATGGTACAGGGTTTCCTGCCTGAGCAAGGGGTTGGACTAGAAGACCTCCAAGGTCCCTTCCAACTTTATTATTATTATTATGATGATGATTATTATTATTATGATTATTATTATCATCATCATCATCATCATCATCATCATCATCATCTTACAACTGCTAGTGTTACAATGGACATCCCCGGATACTTACGACCCAGTTCCAAAGTTCTGATGGCTCCCAGTTTATGGGACTCAGCAACTGGCCCAGATTTACCAGTGTTTGCTGCAATCACGGTCACATGGCTTTTTTTTTAATGATTCTTTTTTTGCTGAAAACTGAACCATTGGTTTAATAACCATCGTATTTGAATAACAAAGTTGGAAGGGACTTCGGAGTGGCTAATTTACTTAAGGACCACTGCAAATAAAAAATAAAAAAATCATAAAATTGAACCAGTGACCCATTTTATGGCCGTCACAATTTATGTGGGCAGGTTCCGTTATAGTTGTAAGTAAAGGACTATCTGTAATGACTTTTTATGTCACTTTTTTTTTTAACATAGATCCCAAATGTATGGCTTTCCAGCCACATTCCACCCCATCCACGTGGCGTCTATACACGCGTGCACGTATATTTGTACACAAACATACCTGTGTTACCCATTTACGAACAAAGTTGCCTATCTCTCCCTATTAGGTGATAAATTCTGGGTTTCCCTCTCTTGATGTACCCTTTTGAAATCATTTGTGCCTTCAGATCACCAAGCGATCGCTCTTTTCACAGCTCTGACTTTCTCCCAACGTTGGATACTTTGAAAGTGCTGGGTGATTTAGTGATGCACAAATGATTTAGCATTTTGGGATGTACAGTATCTGAAGGCCAAGGTGGTGCCTGGCTGGCAAGGAGAAACATTAGCCAGCTGTGTCATTTTTGAGTTTCTCTAAGCAAGGGACAGCACCAGGCCACATGGCTTAATCACCCAAGGATAAACTTCTTATCTATGTTATATAACAGAGTGTCAGGATATGAATTATTCTCTTTGTGGAAACCTGCCTGATTGGGGTGGGGATTAAGACAAACTTGAGTTTTGATAATGGGGTGCTTTTATAGTTTCCCACTGGAAGACTGACAATACTATGGGCAACCAGAGGAATTCTGGGAGTTGAAGTCCACCAGTCTTAAAGCTTGCAAGCAGTAGAAGATAAATCCAATATTTTTCTCCTGCTCAGAACGATGGCCTCCGTCCTCTCACCCTACTTCTGAGTGACATTTGCTTCTAGGATTACAGAGCACCCACCCTGAGAGGATTACAGAGTGATATGAATAATTCAGTTTTAATCACACTTTGAGTTATGCCTCGCAGGCATTATTCTGTAGATCCTGGCTACAGAACACAAAGGGCCACAGCTCTTAAGCATCACCAGTGCCCCAAACGAAGAAGGCAACCAATGTATTTGAATCCTGCAAGAATTCATTAGAAAAATCCTTCACTGAAGCATCAGAAATATACACGTTTAGGCTGCCAATTGAACAAGGGAATATAAAGGGGTGGGGGAGGGGTGCTTTGTGCTATGATGCCATAGGATTACTTACTGAAGTGTTTGCTAATCTAAAATAATCTACCTATTAGCATTTAAGCAGAGTAAAAGACACAAACACACACACACACATACATTGAAATTATTATTTAGAATTGGCACGCTCCAATGGTAAATAAATAAATAAATAAACATTGGGCGCACAAAGGCAAGGCCTCACTTGTTATACTGCATCCATTTTTGGCTGCCGCAGTGTAAAAAAGATGTTGAGGCTCTAGGAAGAGGGCAGAGAACAAAAATGAATAAGGGACTGGAAGCTAAAACATATGAAGAACAGTTGCTGGAATTGGATATGTCTACTTTAATGAAGAGAAGGACAAGGGGGGACATGATAGCAGCGTTCCAATATCTCAGGGGCTGCCCCAAAGAAGAAGGAGTCAAGCTATTCTCCAAAGCCCCTGAAGGCAGGACAAGAAGCAACGGATGGAAACGAATCAAGGAGAGAAGCAACCTAGAACTAAGGAGAAATTTCCTGACAGCGAGAGAACAATTAATCAGCCGAACAACTTGCCTCCAGAAGTTGTGAATGCTCCAACACTGAAAGTTTTTAAGAAGAGATTGGATAACCATTTGTCTGAAAATGTATAAGGCTTCCTGCCTGAGCAGGAGGTTGGACTAGATGACCTCCAAGGACCCTTCCAACTCTGTTATTCTGTTAAGGGCTGGGAAAGGAAAAGAGAGAGTCATCGGTCTTGTAACTAATCCAAGTATAATTTGCCAAAAGGTAACAACAAGGCCAAGTGCATATCTTTTAAACCAGTGGTGGCGAACCTATGGCACAGGTGCCAGAGGTGGCACTCAGAGCCCTCTCTGTGGGCATGCGCGCCACCGCCCCAGTCCTAGGCCTTCAGCTGGGTTTTATAAAACCTTCTCGCTTTAGGCCTCCGCCGCCGTGTACAAAAAAAAAGAGGTTCAATCAGTCAATTTCATCTTCTCGCGGGGAAAAAAAAGATCTTGCAAAGTTGGAATTGATTGATTGAACTTTTTAGTCCCACCCAGTCTGCCATTACCACCGCAGCCACGCCCAGCCAATGGGCCACGCCCAGCCAATGGCCACACCCACCCGGCACCCGACGATGCATAAGTGGGTTTTGGGTTGCAGTTTGGGCACTCGGTCTCTAAAAGGTTCGCCATCACTGTTTTAAACCTTGCTCCTCTCCAAAGCAACGGGAACCTGCAAAAGGAAAACATCAACAACGTTCGCCCTTCTGCCAGTTTTTATGCCATATTATGCCAACAGAAGAGAGAGATTCCAGAGCGCAAAGGAGCTGCTTAGACCTGAAGGCTATCTGTAAAAGAATTCCTTTGTAAGGAAGGACGCAGGAGCTGACTTTTCAGGCAGAAACCTCAGGGATCCATCACTTAAAATTCCCCACGCCTCGGTGGGTGGAGGAACTGCACCGGCCACCATCCAACCTTCACGGGTCGTGGTTAGTTTTGAGAGGTGTAATCAAATGCATATGAAGGATGTCAGAGTGGAGAAGGTTGGCCCGCTGACCCATGAAGAACTCTGGAGACGGGAACGGAAAGGAGCCTATCCATCTTATGACTTAGTAGTGCGCTATCTGAATTGAACGGTTCTCTCTCTGCCTGCCTAACCTACAGCCTAGCTAGCCGTTTTTGAGAAGAAAGAGCTAAATGTCCTGCAGAGAAATAACAGTGGAGCCAAAAGAAGCAGTGTATACTGTGATAAGATTGGAATGTTTCTTAAATGGAGAGAAGCCACTGAGATGCGGGTAACATACAGTTTGTGAATTGAGTCCTGAGTATTAAGCCAAAGATGAAATAAAATGCAAGCAACAGAAGGGCAGGTTTGGGTTAAGGGCTCTCTTACATCATAACTGTCATGTGTCTGACTAATGAAACACTTCAAAGAACTTTCAGGCATGGTTAAAAGCCTTTATTAGTGTAGAGGAGTGTCAGCACGATATGGAGAATGCCAAGATCTGAATTTCCCTTCCTTTGCACATAACATTCCAGGCATTTCCCCTCCCCTATTTTGGGGTCATGATTCACATCTTCCAATTAACCTGGAGGGCAAAGATTCACTTCCGTTCCCTTCCCCTCGCTTTTCTCTCCTCTCTCATTCTCATCTGAATTAACTCTAAAAGTACCAGACAGTTCTGCATATTTTGTCAAAGCAAGAATATTCAATATTAGCAGCGTTGACAATAACATGGATTGGAAGCCTAAGAATGATCTGGCTGGATCAATCCACGTCCCACCTCAGCCTCGCATTTTCTTCCTTGTGGAGCCAATGTGTTGCCTCTGGGTCCACACAAGTAGCAGATGAAGACATACAGGGTAGTCCTCAGCTTACAACCGTCCGTTTAGTGACCATTCAAAGTTACAACGGCACTGAAAAAACTGACTGATGAGTGTTTTTTCACATGACCCTTGCAGCATGCCTCCCCAGGGTCACGTCATCAAAATTCAGATGTTTGGCAACTGACCCATATTTACGACAGATACAGTATCCCGGGGTCACGCAATCCCCTTTTGCGAACTTTCTGACCAACAAAACTAACGGGGAAGCCAGATTCACTTAAAAACTTAAACTGCAGTGACTGACTTAACAACTGTGGCCATAAAGGTCATAAAACGGGGCAGAACTCACTTAAGAAATGTTTCGCTTAGCAACAGAAATCTGGGGCACAGTTGTGGACGTAAATCGAGGACTACCTGTATCCCCATCATTCCAGGAGTCGGAATTATGCTGCGCCCAAGCCAAGGTGACACTAAGCCTTCAAAACCAAGCGTGTTCATCATATCTGCCCTTTGTGAAATGGTCTGATCCCCATCCAAGCCAGTGGACATCCCCACACTGTAAGGTAATGAATTCCACAGGTTAATTATCATGGTGTAAAACTGAAACAGAAATCTATTAAGAGTAGGCAAGTTGGAGGGCACGCCGGCGATATTGTCCCCCAACAGATGGAAGGTTGGCAGGTTGTCTATGCCTCATTTTGACTCTCCTGCTGTTTGCAATTCTTTTCCCCCCTCCAAGTGTTAAGTAAGAGGACAGATTAATCAACCTGAGATCAAGAGGAGTATTTTGTGACAAACTGTGTATGTCTTGGGGAGAAACCAGATCAGCCAAATCTGAAAAGGTTGCTGCCTTAGCTGGAAACCCAGTGGCATTCACCATCTGGGACCTACAATAGAAGAATGGGAACCCCAGGAATAAGCAAAGGGATATCTGGAATTCATATGCATGATGCCTGGGTGGGTGCCTGATTTCACAAACGGAAGCAACACAATACAGCCTAACACTGATGGTGTTACTCAGTTCGGTAATGAAACATCTGCAAAAAAAACAACAACCACCACGCTTGGCACCAAAGCATCCTTCCAAATTCATCTCCCTAAAGGAGATAGCTGTGATCTCTTGGTGCATTATTTTTCCTCCGTTTCATCCTAAAGGACGGCAGAAAAAAAAATGAAAGTACCATGCTGTTTCCGTTTACGATTTGCCTGCATGGTTTTCTGGAGGAAATTCTTCCCTGAAGCTCACATGCTGTTTACGAGCCTGCTTGACCAGGGAAAGAGGGTGGAAAACCTCTCAGCAAAGCACTGTCGAATACAATCTTTGAACCACCCCAAAGCAGAGGAGGGCTTGGCATGCCTAAATGGAGCACCTTGGCAGACCCAGATCCCAAGTTATAAATATCACCCTGCGTTTTGGGTACAGCAGCTTATTTTTAGCCTGGGAGCCCGGGGTTGAACAGCAGAAGCTTTTTCCCCACTCCAGGAAGTGGTCCAAGTTACATCAGCTCCAGGTTTTGCAAGACAAAGATGTCCTCCCTGGGTCTCCCTTTGCAAGTGGCTATTGTTCTCCCTATCATCTCTCAGCTCAGTGTGTACCGTCGCACACAAGAGGCTAGAGACAGTGAATGTTTCCATTCTCCCTGGAGCTCTGAGAAGACAGGAAGAATGAAAGAAAAGAAATATGAAGCCGAGCTGGTTTCTGGCCAGTTGTTGGCTGTGGCTCCCTCTGGTATGCACCCCGATTCCAAATAAATCACATTAACTGTCTCATAAACTTGACTGCTTCTTCTGGATGACAACAGGCCGATGAGATCAAAACGTAACTGCAGAGAGACAGGCCAGCAATTTTTCCCAACATCTGCCAAGTTCCCATTGCTCAGCCTGATGTTCTGTCACCGTTGCCTACTCCAGATCCTCTTTTTAAAAAAAACTATTTTCAGATCTGTACTTTAAACAACCCTGGTAATCTTATGATTAGCTAGATTTTATTTCTCACAATGTATTGGAACATTTAAAGGGCAACAGCCTGGTATCGTTTGGAATGGGATGCTCGTTATTATTATTATTTCAACTGTCAGGATTTCAGCCCACAAACATCTTTGGATTCTGCTGTTGTCTCAAAGTATAAAAAATTATTTTCTCTTCTGTATGGCAAGAGGGCGCTGCTACTTCGTAGATAAAGTCAACTGTGTCTCCGATGAATAGGAGAATCCCCTCCAGTGCCCAGATTCGAAGGAAGAAGACTCTGATGATTGGAATTATTAAAAGGTCCTAAGTTACAACTAATAGTATTGCCTTATAAGGGTCATAAATGACCAGCCCACATTTTTCTATGGGCTGGCTAAGTTTTGGAAAGCAGATTTTTCTCCCATGGAAAATAGCATCTCCTGTCAAAGCACGATACTATTTTTTTTTTTTTTTTTAAAAAAACCACCTCTTAATTTAGAGCACTATTCTCTCTTCTGACCTTTAAAAGATCTATTATTAACACCACATCCCTATTCAGGCATTTGGAATAGGGAAAGATAAAGAAGCTGTCATCATTCAAATATTGCTGAACTGCAATTCCCAGCATTCCTCACCATTGCACATACTCCCTGGGACTGCCTAAGACAGTGTTTTTCAACCAGGCTGGCTGGGGAATTCTGGGAGTTGAAGTCCACACGCCTTAAAAGTTGCCAAGCTTGAGAAACACTGGTCTAAAAGTGATGGATCATCAACATCTGGAGCGTCCTAGACTCACTACTGGTAAGAATAAGTACACAGGTGATAATGTCTATTTACGGTTCCCGTCCCTGGTTTCTTGTTCCCTAATCATTTTTTCCCCCTTTTCTGCAATCAATGGCCTAGTGACTGCGAATAGGCAAAATGTTGAAATTGAATGGAATTGAATATTCTATTTGGCTAAGTGTGACTAGCCACACAAGGAATTTGTCTCCAGTGCAGGTGGTCTCCATGCACACGCAAAGCAACAGAATAATGATAATTATAATCTTAATAATAATCCCGATAAGAGGGGGGGGAGTAAAGAAGATAATAGAAGGATAAATGATGATACTACAGCCATATTACACTTAAACATTTGACACCAATGTGAGAGTTAGGGATTCAGCAGACAAGGGGGAAAAAAACCTCCCTGTGTCTAGTCGTTTTGGCATATAATGCTCCATAGCGCCATCCCAAGGGGAAGAGTTGAAACAGTTTATATCCAGAAGAGCCCAATGCTGGGAAAGATGGAGGGCAAGAGAAGAAGGGGACGACAGAGAATGAGGTGGCTGGATGGAGTCCCTGAAGCAGGAGGCGTGAGCTTCAATGGACTCCAGAAGATGGTAGAGGACAGGAAGGCCCGGAGGAACATTGTCCATGGGGTCGCAATTGTTCGGACACGACTTTGCAACTAACAACAACAAATATCCAGAATGTGAAGGATCTGCAAATTTCTTCTGACCTGTGCAATATACAGGTCTTCTATGGAAGGCAGGCAGTTGCCATTGTTTTTTCTGCAGTCTTAACTTTCTGTTGGAGCCTGTACCTGTCCTGCTTGGTTGCTGAACCAAAAAGCAACCGATATATATTGATCTCAGTATATAATAATTGATTTGTTTTACTATTCTGAACGAAGGTTATCAATCTTTCTCAGCATTTGACGGGGACCTGAAGCGGTTACCCGCACTTTTACTCTGAAAAACGCTTTAAATAAATAAATAAAAGCACACCTCCCTGGAAACAGAAAACATTAAAGAAGAGAGGGAGTTAATTCTCAAAGTGTGTCCTACCTCTCTTCTGGATGATGATCCGGAGAAGAGGATTGGCAGACGACAGAGCCTTGTGATAGTTGTCATCGTTGTTGATGGGGAGCAGATCTCCGTGGATGTCTGTGTATCCCAGGAGGACATCCGAACAAGGGATCTGGTGCACCCTCTGGATCAGCTGATAGAATTCCTGGAAACCACCCGCGCTGGACCTCTTCATGGCAAAGCGGCGAAACTCAGCCTCAAACTGCCAGGAAGACAAAACAATCAGACACACACAAAAAAAGGCAAATTGATAAAGGTGCTCAACCAAGGTCGCCAAAAAACTTGGGGCCTTGGGGAGAACTTTTCAAAGCAGCAAAGAAGGTTGAGGCCTCCTTCGATTCATCATTCTTTCTCCTCACATGAAAACTGCCTTTTACACCCTTTGGGGAAAACACACAGCTCACACACATAACACCAAGCCATAATGTGCTTGTTTGGTTTTGGCTTAGTGCAGGGGTGTCAAACTTGCGACGTCAGGTGACGTGTCGCGACGTATCACGACTTTTTTGCCATTGCCGACAATAGGGTGGGCGCGGTTTCGCTATGATGCATCCGGCCCATGGGCCGGCAGTTTGACATCCCTGGTTTAGTGGGAGGGGTAAGCAGAAGCTGGCTGGTAAGCTGTGTGTGGAGACAAACTACAATGAACACAAACCAGGGCTTGGTGTGACGTAATGAACAAAACAGTCTGCAGCAGTCTTAGGAAGATATTGGAAAGTAAGACTTCTGACTGGCAGAGGATCCAGCAAGGTAGAGTCAACTTTCCATCCTTCCAAGGTGGGTAAAATGGGGACCCAGATTGTTGAGGGCAACAGGCTGATTCTGTGAACAGCTTAGAGAGTGCAGCAAAGCACTGTAAAGCGGTATATTAGCCTAAGTGCTATTTCTATTCAAAACTGATTTAACAATTTGGAGCTTCTGCTAAATACCATACAGGTGGTCCTTGACTTACAACACTTCGCTTCAGTGACAATTGGAAGTAGCAACGTCACTGAAAAAAAGTGACTTATGACCCTTTTTCACACTTACAACCGTTGCAGCATCCCGAGGGTCACGTGATCAACATTCGGCCACTTGGCAACTGCCTCATAGTTATGACGGTTGCAGTGTCCCAGGGTCACGTGATCACCCTTCGTGACTTTCTGACAAGCAAAGTCAATGGGGAAGCCAGTTTCACTTAACAACTAATTCAACAACTTCAGTGATTCACTCACCTGTGAATCTGTTTATCTCGCTTAGCAACAGAAATGTTGGGCTCAACTGTGGTTGTAAGTCAAGGACTACCCATAGCGACGTGTAGTCAGTTTTGAGTAGATACATGATCTTGTACTCAAGGAAGAGAATGAAAGTTGTTCTCAGATAGCAAATATATATGGCAAAGCATCTTCTCTTTTATATTTACTGCTTAAATGGAAAAAAAAGATGGATACAGTAGCTGGGCATGTTATTACAATTAGCTCATTTCCTGCTCTCAAAACCTTTGACTTTAATCTCAGCTAACTGCGAATTCATGCCTTGAATTTCTGATCTTTTCAGCCCGCGTTTAGCCCAGCAATCAACAGGATCACCAAAATGGAAAAGAAATGTGGTTTTTTTTCCCCCTTGACGGAAAGCTTTAACTAGTGCCCTCAGGATACGTTAGGACTATCTTCCGAGAATCTGCAGCCAAGTGCTCATAATTTGGAAAGTCGTATTTCCAACACACCTGGAAGGCACCTGTCAAGCTTCAGCAACTGCTTACCGCCTAAAACTAGATGTATTGAAAGGGGGAAAAGATATTAGGTAAAAGAAAGCTTAGCAAAAGGATATATTTGCTTTAGCTTTCATTTCGTCTCTTAAGTTTGTTAGGGATTTTCTTGATCCTCTTGCTAACCACTTGTTGATTTCCTGGGGAGATGGAAACTCATTTTCCGGATAAAAACACATTCTCCGTATACCTTTAATATTTTGCATACTAGCAGCCTCTCCCCCAGATTCTGAGAAGCCCGTTACAGTAACTGGCTAGGTCAGTAATGGTGAACCTTTTAGAACCTTTTAGTGCCCAAACTGCAACCCAAAACACACACATATATTGTTGGGCACGGCCTATTGAGTGGGTGTGGCTGTGGTGGTAACGGCAGACTGGTTGGGACTAAAAAGTTCAATCAATCAATTCCAACTTTGCGAGATCTTTTTTTTTTCCTGCGAGAAGTTGAAATTGATTGATTGAACCTTTTTTTTTTGTGCAGACGGCGGCAGACGCCTAAAGTGAAAAGGCATTATAAAACCCCGCTGAAAGTGTAGGACTGGGACAACGGCGCGCGTGCCCACAGAAAGGGCTCTGCGTGCCACCTGTGGCACCCGTGCCATAGGTTCGCCACCATGGGGCTAGGTCATTCTCTTCAAAAGCACAGACACTTTTCAATTGTCTAACACAGGCATGTCCAACCTGCAGCTCCCAGGAGACCCTGGACAGCTAGTAATGCAGCCCCACAAATTCATAAACTTGTATATTATATATTTTATATGCGGCCCAAGACGATTCCTCTTCACTCAATATGGACCAGGCAAGCCAAAATGTTGGATATATGCCTGATTTTCTAATACACTATCTTCTTGAAAGCAATCACATTCAGTCTTTGCTATTTTGTCCCAATTATGAAATAGACAGTGTTTATTATATTATTTATGGCTACGTTTGTGTCCCTTTCGTTATGTAGATTGTATTTTTTTTTTCATCTGAAGAACTTCCGAGTTCTCCATCGGATCCAAACAACGGAAGACATTTCTTTTAAAATAGGTCGACAGGATTGCTTTGTTGCAAGAATTTTATGCTCTCCAAAGACAAATATGAACAAAGAGCAACATATGGCCCATTATTATTACAATAATTGAGAGCATGCAAGATTTTTAGGCAAAGTCTGAGCTCCTCCAGGCTAACACCGTACAAAACTAGGCTCCTTATTCAGTGCTACTTCTAATCGCTACAACAATCAATAATAACAGCCCATCAATTAGGAACAGCATACATTCAACAGTTTGGAATCAAGTATCAAACTATATTAAATGACACGGTGGCTTGTTTAAAACCTGCTGCATTTGAACAAGCCACAGTTGCTTGGTACCACATGTCAAACCACCCACCCCAGTCTCTCAGTTCATCCAATATGCTAAAATCAACCCAAGCAAAGCCACCAGGTGGTTGTGTGAACCAGGTCACAGTGCAACAGCCTTTCCTAGAAATGTGGAAATGCGCTTTCCACTAGCTGCAACCCACATAGGTAACCCTATAATGGTTAGGGAGGACTTGAGTCACAGTTGCACCTCTGGGGGTCCCAGATGGGGGAAGCTTGGTTCCCCCTGACCAGGACACATTTTTGCACAGTCAAGCCTTTCCATGAACTTGCAGGGCTGAGCTACTTGAGTGGATGAAGATCCTAAGGCAGGGGTCTTCAAACTTGGCAACTTTGAAGGCTTGTGGACTTCAACTCCCAGAATTCCTCGCCTTCAAAGTTGCCAAGTTTGAAGGACCCCTGCCCTAAGGCCTTGCACCCCTAACCCTAACCCTGATCCCACCCTACACATCGGCCCAAGGTGGGGGATGCCCCTTCCCGACCCTGTTCTAGGGCGAATCACTTCAGTGCTTCCTCTCGTTTCCGTGCGTGGGGGGAGAGGGCGCACAACAAAGGACGCCCCCCCTTTTTACAAGGGGGTCCCAGCAGACTCCAAGCCAGCAGCACCCACGCTTCGAGAGCGGGTCGGTGCAAAACTGGGGACACCGCCCTCCCCATCCTTTGGGGGGCCATCGGCCACCAAGACATCAGCTCAGATGCCGCCCCCTGCCCGTTTCCAAACCCCGCACTATTGCATAACGCGGTGTGTGTGTGTGTCTGTCTGTCTGTCTGTCTCTCTGTGGGGGGGTCTCTCTCTCTCTCTGTCTGTCTGTCTCTCTCTCTGTGTGTGTGTGTGTCTGTCTCTCTGTTGTGTGTGTGTCTGTCTGTCTGTGTGTGTCTGTCTGTCTCTGTGTGTGTGTGTGTGTGTGTGTGTGTGTCTGTCTCTCTCTGTGTGTGTCTGTCTGTCTCTCTGTGTGTGTCTGTCTGTCTCTCTCTCTGTGTGTGTGTGTGTGTGTGTGTGTCTGTCTCTCTCTCTCTCTGTGTGTGTGTGTGTTTCCCCTTTCCCCCGCCTAGGAGAAAAACTCCGGGCGATTTCTCTTCCCCCGCGCAGCCTGCCCAGAAGCAGCGCGCGGAAATCCCTCTAGATCGGAGCAAATAATCCCCATCTGGCCGCCGAAAGACGGGCGGGGAGGCGGGGGCGACGGTGGCGGCGGCGGCGGCGCTGGGGACGAGTCTCTAAAACAATCAGCCCGCCCCGCCACCCGTTAGGCCGGCCTTCGGCGCCCCGGCGCAGCTTCTGCATCCCCCCTCCAGAAAGCGAGACGCGTCGCCTCCCCCCCCCCAGCAAGAGAGCGCCGGGTCGAGCCGGGCGAGAGACCCAACGCCCGCTCGGCGGCGGCGGCGGCCGCCTGGTTGCACCTGCTGCGCGGCCGCTGCCAGCCGGTCCAACATTCCGCCGCTGCGCGCCTGGGCCCGGGCGCTCTCGTCCCCGCCCGGGGGGGAAGGGGGAATTGCCGCAGCCTCCTCCTCCTCGGAGGGGCTCCTCCGCCCTGCCGCCCGCCCCGCTTCCCCGGGCAGAGGCGCCGGCTCACCTTGCTTTTGACCTCGATGACCGGCTCCGAGCTGCGCGCCGGTGTGCGGTGGTGCTTAGCCATGCTGCGCCGGCCGGGCCGGGTTGCCTCGGCCGCCCCCGCCGCCCCCGCCGCTTCCTCGGGCTATTATTGCTGCTGCTGCTGCTGCTGCTCCGCCGCCGCCGCCGCCGCCGAACGGGGACAGGCAGCAGGAGGGGGGGGAGGAAGGAGGCGGGAGGGAGGGGAGGGGAGGGGGGGAGAAACTCACCGTCGATGACGTCACCCCAGCAGTCGGAGCGGGCCCGCGCCATTGGCTAAGGCGGGCCGAGCAGGGCGGGGTCAGAAGCTCCGCGGCGTTCGGATGGAAAGGATGCTGACAACGTCGTCTAGGTAACCGGCCTCCGAGTGGTCCAAGGTGTATCCCGCGGCGTGAGATCAAAGGGAAGGCGAGGGGGGGACCCTTCAGCGCCGCGCCGGGCTCGCTTGGCTCCATCCCTGGGCAGAGAGGGGGGGGGAAAACGGGGGGGGGGGCTTACCTGAGCCTTTGGAGTCGTCGTCGTGCTAAGAAGGAGGCGATTTACTCTCTCTTCCCCCCCCCCCTTTGGGGCAGGGGGGGCGTCTGTAAGCCCCCTTGCTCGTTTTCAAAGGCTGGCGGGGAAGGCGAAGCCAAAGCAAGCGAGGTCTTCGGGCATCCAGGCTGAAGCCCTCGGCTTCTGTCCAAGCCCAGGGCCGGCAACTTGTAGGGTTGCCAGGTGTCCACTATTTGAGTGGACAGTCCACTTTTTTCACATTATGTTCACTATTTTTTTTTTCACAAAATAGTGGACATTTTTTTTTTAATTCAAAAGCTTTATGATGAAATGGTACCTAATCTAAAGCTGTACAGTCTACTTTTTTTACTACTTAACACCCCCCCCCCCGCTTGTCCGCTATTTTTTGGAAGCAGACCTGGCAACCCTACGCCAGCGAGCCAAGGCAGAGATGGGGTCAAGAGAGCGGCAGAGGACAACCCGGAAAGGAGGAGGGGGGACAAACGGGGCTGGGCTGCCTTTTAAGGGGTGCATCAGAGGGTGAGGGGCCCTTGGATTCATTGGTTGGACACAGGGAAAGTTTTGATCCCCCAAACCATATACCGAGGCTGGGGGTCCACAGGAGAGGCAGTGCAATCCCGTTATTTGGCCGCTCCGTATCCCCTGGGTAGCTATTGAGTTAAATCAGGGGTAGTCAACCTTGGCTCTTTTATGACTCGTGGACTTCAACTCCCAGAATTCCTGAGCCAGCTAAGCTGGCTCAGGAATTCTGGGAATTGAAGTCCACGAGTCATAAAAGAGCCAAGGTTGACTACTCCTGAGTTAAATAGTGGTTCATACTGTGAAGCATTGGACCATAAGAAAGGCTGAGCGCCAAAGAATGGAGGCCTTTGAACTCTGGTGCTGGAGAAGACTGCTGCGAGTCCCCTGGACTGCCAGGCGATCAAACCGGTCAGTCCTAGAGGAGATCAACCCTGACTGCTCTTTAGAAGGCCAGATCCTGAAGTTGAAACTCAAGTACTTTGGCCACCTAATGAGAAGGAAGGACTCACTGGAGAAGGGCCTGATGCTGGGAAAGATGGAGGGCAAGAGAAGAAGGGGACGACAGAGAAGGAGGTGGCTGGATGGAGTCACTGAAGCAGTAGGCATGAGCTTAAATGGACTCCAGAAGATGATAGAGGACAGGAAGACCTGGAGGAACGTTGTCCATGGGGTCGCGATGGGTCGGACACGACTTCGCAACTAACAACAACAACACTGTGAAGCATATATCATGCAAACACAACTCATGCATACCATCCTATCTGGGTCTAAAACGCCCTCAGTCCAGGGGTCTCCAACCTTGGCAACTTTTAAGACTTGTGGACTTCCAACTCCCAGAATTCCTGGCTGGGGAATTCTGGGAGTTGAAATCCACCCATTTTTAAAGGTTCACAAACATTGGCCAGCGCATCGGTGGCCATGGAAAGATGACTGTGCTATCTTAGTCTCTGTAACTGCCCCAACACATTCAGACAGTAGAAATGCCTGGGAGGAAATGGATGTAAATCTTCTTTCTATTTTGAACTGGAATTGTCCCTAAAAACTAACAAAATAATTTACACTGGTTTTTTTTTGCATGTTTGTAATTAAATATCAGGTAAGAATAGAGCTACTTGTGAGGATTTAATTAAAGGCCACTTACCGAATTTTTTTTTTTAATTGAGCAAATCTATTAAAGGGCTGGATAGTTCTGTCTTCCCAAATGACCCACTTTTAGCTTCCTTTAGAGTTTAGACTAAACGGTGAAGCCTGTCAAAAGCCCTGGAGCTTTTTTAAAAGTTTCCTGCAACTTATAATGGTTACCAGGGAAAACCTGAATTTTGTAGGACTGAGTTACTTAAATTAAATCACGGTTAGAGGTTGCCCTACCCCCACTTCTAAAAATAGAAGTGATCTTAAAAACAGTTCCGTTTCCCTGTTTTAACTATATTATTCTTGAAGTAATTCTGGGTTAACAGACCATTCAGAACTCCCCCCCCCCTTTAGATTTTGTTTTGCCCACTGTTTCTTAAAAAGGATATGGTAGGCAGGGCAATTAAAAATTGTAGCACTTTACAGCTCAAAGTAATACATGTAGAAGCTCATACATGTTTGCCTAAACCCACAGTGTTTCTCAGCCTTGGCAACTTCAAAATAGGTGTCATTCAACTCCCAGAATTCCCAAACTCCATGGTTGTTTTTTTTTTGTGCCATGATATTTAATGTCTGAATTTTTTTTCCTTGATGCTATTTCTTTATTTGTTGTGGATCAAAGGCTTTAGAATTTATTTTTATTTGCTCAGTTTTTCTAACGCATAAAGATTAGAAACAACCTTTTAAATTTTTTTTGGGGGGGGCGCGAGGGTTGCAGCCTTATGCTTTATTTTTATAGATCTGAAAAATACTTTAAAGGAACCTTTGAGCTTGGATTAAAATTTGCAGGAACTGGTAACAATAGTGTGAATGTTATGTATCAATTTGGTCAGTGTACAAAGAATTTTGCCATTTTTTTATCTTTATTCTTTATGAATGTAGGACAAGCTATTTTGAATGAAGCCTGTTTCCTGCAGAGACTAACATGGTGCTTCTAGAAAGCCTACAAGCATGCTATTAAACATACATTCTCCTCTATTTCTATCCTCAGCAACTGATATGCAGTGATATATAGCACTTAACCTTTGAAACTACTTGCCAAGATAATAAATTATTTTGAAGATTAGTAAGCAAGTGACACCTTGTAGCACTAATTTGTTTGAACAAATCTTTCGAATTATTTGAGCTGAATTTTACTGCTAACTGATCTAACGGGTGAGCATAAATCCTGCTGGATTTATGCAGCAGGCTAGAAATCAGGAGATTTGTGAAATCTAGTCCTGCCTTAGCCATGAAATTCGTCTGGGTGACTTTGAGCCAGTCACTCACTCTCAGCCCAACCCACCTCAGAGATTTGTCGTTGGTGGGAAAACGGGAGGAGGAAGAAGGCGTGTTGAATCTGTTTGCCACCTTGAGTGATTTGTAAAAATAATAATGGCAGGATACAAGTTTGTAAAAATAATAAAGGTGATATACAGATAAATGCGAGAGAGGGGGGGAAAAATGTCTGCCCAATATTTCTTGATCACACATAAATTCATGTAGCGCTATTTCTGCACCCCATCACTTCCTTTATAAATTGCTCCTGACAATGCCCAGCAAGCTATTTAAGAAGAAGGCTATGGCTGGTCATCTTTTAAAGGAGGTCTGACCCTCTCTGGCACGCTTTGCTCATTCAGAAATCCCAGATTTTTTTTAACATGTGGGAGGCCTCTACTAGTTTGGCTCTGCAGCAGCTTCTTTAGGTGTCCCTGGCTGGCTTAACCTTCCTTTTGTAAGGATTGCCTTCTGAAGGAGGCTTTTACTGTTCAGAAGGCGTAGACCACGCCAGTCATTCAACATAAATGAGAACATTTTGGTCTATTCCCTGCAGGATTTATGGCCAGCTGGTCCAGCTGATAGAGTAGATGCAAAAAGTAACCTGTAATTTTTTTTCTGTCTATGCTTTGAAAAGGCAATTTGGCATTTCCAATGTTCCTCAGTTGTCTTTTATTACATCCATGCTTTAATCCAGGGGTCCCCAACCTCCGGTCTGTGGACCGGTACCTGGCCGCAACATGCCAGGAACTGGTCCACACAAACAAGCAAAGCCCATCCGCAGGATGCAGGCAGTACACAAAACCATGCACCTTCCGGTCCGCGGAAAAACCTCTCTCCACGGAACCGGTCCCTGGTGCCCGAAAGGTTGGGGACCCCTCTGCTTTAATCAGTCCTGACTCTTGGTGACAACAGGGATCAGTCCCTGCATATACATTTAATAATAGTAATAATTTTTGTGGGCAACATTTTCAGAGGCATTTTTCACCAGGCATTTTTCCTGGTGCCTGGCATGGCATGGCCCGGTACTGTTTCTGAAGAGCAACTTTCTTCATGGGGAAATTCTCCTTTTATTGGAGAACTTTGAGAAAAACAAATCACCCCCTTATTTTCTCTGTACACAGATTAACTAGAGGATTGAAAGACAATGTGTGCCTCAGTTAAAAGCCACTGCACAGGTAGCTGGGCTGAAGTTCTAGTCATTTTGTCTGATGGCTCCTGGCCATTTCCCTTTATAATAAATAATAATAATAATAATAATAATAATAATAATAATAATAATAATAATAATAATAATAATAATAATAATAATAATAGTAATAAAGTTGGAAGGGACCTTGGAGGTCATCGAGTCCAACCCCCTGCTCAGGCAGGAAACCCTACACCATTTTGGACAAATGGCTGTCCAGTCTTTTCTTAAAAACTTCCAGTGTTGGAGCATTCACCGCTTCTGGAGGCAGGTTGTTCCACTGGTCAATTGTTCTAACTGTCAGGAAGTTTCTCCTCAGTTCTAGGTTGCTTCTCTCCTTGATTAGTTTCCATCTGTTGCTCCTTGTCCTGCCTTCAGGTCCTTTGGAGAATAGCTTGACTCCCTCTTCTTTGGGGCAGCCCCTGAGATATTTG